TTCAACTAATACGGAACTAATGGCATACTGTCCTTATAAGTCCACTGGTTAATAACTAGTTTTAAAGGGTACTTCTAGTTTTACAATCAGATTTGGAGTAGTCGGGGGACAAGGTACAAGTCCATCAAGCTAATATTGTTGAAAAAAAAAGAACGAACTAATGGATAAGTAGCATGTGAGTTGAGACGCCGTCGTTTAAGTAACAAACCAAGGCTCAAAACGACACCACTTTAAAAAACTATATACATAATAACCGTATCAGGCAACTTTCTCGTCTCTCTCGTCGCTCACATTTCGCCCAAAACCCAATACAATCTGCGTGAGGCACTTTTTCCCGCACATTTTTCCTGCGATTCGATGCCTCCGAAAGCCGACAGAGTCGAAGGTAACAAATCAATGGCGACAACCAATCTTTTCCGTCTATTCTCTTCAATTTGGAGATTTCCACTCCGAAATTAATCTCAACTCATTCCATATCCGAATTCGTTTCTTACTCGACGACTCTACTTCTCTGCAACTCAGAGCTCAACCAACTGTTAGCCGTCACCAGAGAAAAGATAGAGGTAGCAGAGAAGGGGAATGTTGTAATCAAGAAAAATGCAGACGGAGAATACAGAGATGATGATGATGATGATGTGAATAAGGAGACAGGCCCTTGGCCTACTCGTACGGGGATTGAGACCGCAACGTTTGCTGTTATGATTTATGAAAGATTTCATCATATCATTTTGATCAGAAGTCAATTCAGACTTCCAAATCCAAGCTTCAAGCAGCATCTTCTGTTCTTCATCAACAATAATGGGTACTCCCTGTGATTTTTTTTATTATTTTTAATGTAAAGTTATGGTTATCTCCTTCATTTCATTAATAGTATAAATTAATGATTCATTTATCATTAGATTTTGAGCAATTTTTCTTAATCTTGTTTCTGGTCATTGTTTGTTTGTTTCCCTTAAGCAAATTTGGGAGACAATTCTTCTTCTGAATTCAGACATTCTTCTTTGCTACCATTTACACACTTTCTGAGGAACTAATTTCATCTACATTGCAGCATAACCATAGATGTTTTTATAATTTTATCCATGCATTTAGGCGGTAGGTGTAAATTGCTTCTTTTCAAGCCCTTTTAGCAATTAATGAATATTATGTGATTAATCTGTTATATCTATTAATGAATATTGAACTTGAACAATCCTATTTGGTTAATTGAAAATATGCAAAAACACAAACCAAAGTATGAACCCTGCTATGACAGAGGGTTAGGCATCGCCAAACTTTAATACATCTTACAAAAAAAAAAATAAAAAAGGGGGATAGTTTTAAAGTGGCCATTTTCTAAGTCTACAATGTTGGATATTGGCATATAAGCAGCACTTGCTAAGAGTAAAATTTACCTAATAATACATTTGGTTGAGACCATTAAGTTCTTGCGTCAAGAGATATTGTTGGCATGGCCGCTAGACTTATACTAGCATGATTTGCAGTTGGCAATTCAGAGGGAAATAAACAAGGCCTAGGAGGCATTGTCGGGAGCTCAATTTCACTCTCAAGCATCTCCAAGACCTTGGTCATTGAAGGGCGAATGACAGGTTTCATCTATATGCACCATAAAGCAACTATGACCATCTTCTTCACAATATTCTTTTCAACATTTGTAACATCTCCCAAATCTATATCCTCGCCTCGATCAAATTGGTCATAAATCCATGTTAGGAAGTATACCTCACTTGATTGGTCAACAAATTCTTTAAAGTTCCTTCTTTTTCCTACCATTTCCATCAACAACATTCCAAAACTATACACATCAGCCTTGTATGAGACACCTCCAATATTCTTGTAGAATAACTCTGGAGCAATATATCCTGGTGTTCCTCTTGCTGCTGTGAGAGATACAAAACTATCATCTATAGGATACAATTTTGCAAGGCCAAAGTCAGAAACTTTTGGATTAAAATTGTCATCCAAAAGGATATTGTGAGGCTTGATGTCAAAATATAAAATTTGCATTTCACATCCCCTATGCAAGTATTCAATCCCCCTACCCACCCCAAGAGCAATCTCGAACATTTTTTGCCAACTTAAAGACGTATTGCTTTGGGTTGAAAATATGACTTTGTCCAAAGACCCATTGGGCATGAAGTCATATACTAAGGCTTGCTTAGATCCTTCAACACAAAATCCAATCAGTTGCATGACATTAGCATGATGAATCCTTCCCATGGTAGCAACTTCATTGATGAAATCTTGGCCATTACCTTTTGATGTGCTTAGTAATTTTATTGCTACAAAATGGCCACTTCGAAGTTTCCCTTTGAAAACCGAACCATAACCTCCTTGACCTAATTTATTCTTGAAACTTCCAGTGATCTTCTTTATTTCTGAATAT